TTCCGTTCAACAAATTCACATCAATAAACCGCCAGTTCCCCAGATGGTAACAAAACTCATCATTAAATTTCCAATGTTGATTGAATCAAAAAATGAAAATCAAATAAAAATCAACACAAAAGTAAAACACATCATCGACACTGGTGAAAGCCAACCAACATTTGCCGAGGCTCGCCAACTGTCTGAAGAGAAATATAAAGTAGCAAAAGAGGAATTTACGTCTTTACTAAACGCCGGAATCATCAGACAATCTAAATCTCCCTGAGCTTCTCCACTCCATCTAGTTCCAAAAGGTACTCCTGGACAATGGAGAGCTTGCGGAGATTATCGTTGTGTAAATGCCATTACGAAACCAGACAGATATCCAATTCCAAATATTCACAGCATCTCAACTAAACTACATAGCAAAAAGATATTTTCAAAATTGGACTTATTAAAAGCCTATCACCAGATACCAGTACATGAAAACAATATTGAAAAAACAGCCGTAATAACACCTTTTGGACTCTTTGAGTACATGTTTATGGTTTTTGGTTTGCGAAATGCCATTTTAAAGATTCATGGATAATATCTTCCTAGGTACAGATATCTTCGGGTAAGTAGTTGATTCAACTTCTGTACCAATCGGTTTCTTCTCTGAAAAGTTAACTGAACCACAACGTAACCTTTCTACATTCAACAGAGACCTACTAGCAGCGTACCTTGCCGTCATCCATTTTAAACATTAGATTGAAGGAAAAAATGTAACTTATTTACAGATCACAAACCATTATGCGCTGCCTACAAAAAGAAAATACCATTAAACTCAGACGTTCAAAAACGATATCTTTCAATGATATCCGAATACATGGTAGACGTCATTTATATCCGCGGTAAAGAAAACGTTGTTGCAGATTGTCTCTTGGCCAAAAAATGCTGTAAAGATAGACGACGTCTGTGACTTGTCGTCGATAACCGAGCAACAAGAAATTGATGATGAAATAAAATCATTCAAGAATCAGTTGAAACAATATCCAATAGGGTGGAGTGAAAAATTTTTTTTTTGAAATTTCAAATGCCTGTGTTGTCAAAAGATGTCTTTTAGGTCAATTAATAAATCACTAAAATTTAAACCACTTTTGTATACGTCTTGAGGTTCCTCTAGGCTCCTTTAGATTTTCACTATTAACACAAGTAAAGTCTCGACTATTAACGTATAAAAATGGTCGATTCTGCTCAAAAATACTACACAGTACACAACATCTCCTAAAATTCTTGATTATGCTTAGCAACAATGAAAACTAATATATAAATCTGAAACAATTCAATTTAATTTGTATGCACATCTCTAATTTTTGCTAGATTCCTTTTCGCAGTTACCATTGACGACCAAACTGATTTTATACTTTTTTTTCAAATATAAAATGCCTAAAACACGTAAAGAATTATTTTGTGAAGTTTTTGGTTTACCTACTGATTTGCTAGGAAATGTCCTTCCTACAAACTCTGACGTAATGAAGTGTTATTTGTGGAATAGGAATTTGCTAAAAGAAAGTGCCAATGGAAAAGATCCTAGCGTAAATAACATTTCGCGACTTATTTTAACCGAATTAAAACAGATCTGGCAAAAAGCATCAATTCCAATCATTTCAGATCAAAGAATTTTAAGCTTGATAGCAAATCTGAATCAAAAATATAAATCAATAAAAAAGAACATGAGAAAGTCGCAAGAAAAAACGCTCGCGTTTAGAGAAGTCAGTGAGAAAACTTTGTTTGACATATCTGCATGCAAGTGTGGTGAAGATTTTGATAATTGTTTTTGTAAAAACAAAGTGCCTAAAAGAGAAAGAGATTTTTTAACCGACCAAAGAACAGTGCGTAAGATGATAATTGGCAATACAGATAAAAAAATTAGTCAAAGTCTACAGAAAAGTCTGGCGAGAAAAGCCAAAGAAGAAGCCAGATTGTCGAAGATTGAAGGTCCTTGTGCAAAAAAACAGAAATGTGACAACCTGGCTTTCGATGAAGTTGAAGAAATAAAACAAATCAATTTTCCACCTGACTCTTCAGAAGAGTATAAACCATCCACACCAAGCCAGCTTAGAAGACCTTCTCCATCAAATTTTAGAAAAAGTGTTAAATTGCCTAACTTAGCCCAAGCGTGTGATCGATCGGCTTCACTGCTAGTCAACGCTGTTCTCCAAGATTTGCAAATAATAACAAAAACAAATTCATCTCAAATAGTGGATAGAAGTAAAATTAGGCGCGAACAAAAAGAAGAGCCCATCTTCAAAATAAGTCTTTCAATGAATTCACAGCTGTTCGTGGACTTTATTTCAACGGGAGAAAAGATAAAACAATTCAACAAGATAAAAAAGGCACAAAATATTACAGAAGCACTGTAACAGAAGAGCATGTTGTCTTACTTTCCGAACCTGGTTCACTTTTCTTAGGTCATGTGTCACCAATGTCAGGAAGTGCTAAAAATATAACACTAAGTATAAAAACATTTTTAAAAGATGCTGATTCAAATATTAATGAGTTGAAAGCTATTGGGTGCGATGGCACGGTTATAAATACAGGGTTAACTAATGGTGTTATAAGGCAACTAGAATTGTTCATAGGTCGTCCATTACAATGGCACATTTGCTTGCTGCACACCAATGAATTGCCTCTTCGCCATTTAATTCAATTCCTAGATGGAAAAACAAGCAATCCAAGATGCTTCTCTGGTGAAATTGGAAAAATGTTGGAAAACTGTGAAAAACTTTCTATTGCTGCTTTTGAACCTATTGAAACTGAATTACCCTCAATTCATCAAAATGATTTGAGCACCGACCAAACTTACCTTTTTGATATATGTAATGGAATTATGAAAGGAGATATACCGCTATCT